CTCCCCCTTCCCCCCTGCCCTCAGTTTGTTCCCAGGAGCCAGGGCTTCGGGGCCTGCAACATGTATCTGTCCATCCCTTCCATTGGTCACCCACCCAGCCGCAGACTGGCCCTTGCCCTCCCCACAGGGCTGCCTCCCCGGCCCCCTTGTTGCCACCTTCTTGCCAGCGCTGTTGCTGCATCCCCACATGGTGCCCCCTACCACATACCCGTCGGAAAGCTCCCCTCAGGTGGCTTTCTTACCTAAATGTGCGCTTGGCTTCCCACTTCCTGGCGAACCATGTGCCCTTTTGGGCACACGTCTGTTTCCCCTTGCCATCCTGCCAGTCTCCGCCAACAGGCTGTGCTGTGTCAGGGCCCCCGCCTGCTGCAGTAGTGTTTAAGCATCCTGCTCCTTCAGACACTTAACCCTGTGGCGCTAAAATCCCTCTGGCCAAGGATCCCCACAGGTTTTCTCAGCAGACCACATAGATGCTTGTCTGTTACCTGTAATGCCCTAGAAATTTCACAGACTGAGGACCAGGAGCCGTGCTGACTCTCCACCGTGCCAGGCAGACACACTAGGTTGTGCATGAAGATTTGTTCAATTAAGCAAAGACACACTTGTGTTTTTAGTATAAACTAATCACTCAGTCTTTTATTGCACAGTCCCAAGAAGGTATCAAATAAGGAACAAGAATGCAGTTGCAAGCAACATGAAGCCTGCTAAAAAAAAAAAAAAAAAACACACAAAAGGCAGGTCTGTCCAGACAGCTCTTCATGTATCCCCTGTTGTATGTAAGCAGGCCCAGAATTCAACAGCTTGCGCTGTGAAGTTACACGGTTACCTGTGCTAGGTCCTCTTTGTGCCTATTTTTGTTAGTTCACATGATGAGGACCCTGCAAAGATACGGCCACAGTGACCCCCCAGGGCTCCGGGCCCTTGGCCTACAGTGGCATCTTTACACGTCACGGTGTGTTGATGACCCTCCACAGAGCTTAGAGGACACAGGCTAAAACCATGATGGCAGGAGTGCTGAGAAGGGCCGGCTGACTCTGCACCTGCAAGCCCCAAGTCTCACGGCGTAGCCAGCCTGTTCCGAGTCTTGCTTTTCCCTGCAGCCCCTAGGCCCACGGGCTCTTGCTGCCCCTCTTCTGCCTGCCAGCCTCACAGAAAGAAAGGGGCATCCGAAGAAAAGTCTGGGAACCTGGACTTGTGGAGACAGGCCAGAGGCTTGCGTGATCGGGCACAGCCAGTGCCACCCCTTTGTCCTGCACTCCTTCCCCGGCCTGGGGCCGCAGGGAAGTCCTGCCTGCCTCGCTTCTGAGCCACCCCAGCACGGGGTGCTCTTGACCGTTTCCCCTGGCCCCCCAGGCGGGTGCCAGTTACGAGTTAGGTGTGGGCAGCGAGTTCCTCCCTCTCTGGCTTCCCTGTTAGAACTTTTCATTCCCTTTAAGCTTTACAGATACATTCCACTTGCAACAATGTTATGTCTGTATTAAACTTTAAAATTATACTCTGAACAGACCTGGTGTGATTCCATATGGAATGATTTACATGCTGGGCAAGAAACTTTTGCCAGCCAACTGCTAGTTGAATAGTTATTCTAGAGACATTATCAGATTATATTACTGCCAGGGAAGTTGTTAAAGTTGTCAGTTCCTCAGTTCCTGGAGAGCAGGAAATTGTAATGTTAATGCTTATTAACGTGGCTGTTATCAAAGGTATAAGTAGAAAATAACTGCTCTGTCTTGCTCTTTCAGTGTTCTGAAGTCCATGGAGTTTGCACCGTCTGAGGGCCCTGGGACGCAGGTACACGGTCTCACTCTGCTTTCAGCGTGGCTGGTCCCTTGGGGCGTGCTTCCCCATCTCAGTATTTCTGTGAGGCCTCTCACTCACAGCGGAGGAGTCGTTCTTTAAGCACATTTCGCCAAGTTAGAGCAGATCATCTTTAATTAGAAAGAAGCAAGAGAGAAAAGTTTTCCACACTGGTAACTCACAAGAAATTGTGATTTCACTTGGCAGCTACTATGAATGTAGACAAAACACAGTTTCAGATTGTGTCAAAGAAGACCATATGTGGTGGTCATACCTGTAATCCCAGCACTTTGAGGGGATGCAACAGGAGGAATTGCTTGAGGCCAGGAGTTTAAGACCAGCCTGGGTAACGTAGCGAGACTCCGTCTCTTTAAAAAAAAACCCTAAGCTGGGCTCGGTGGCTCAGCCTGTAATCCCGCGCCTTTGGGAAGCTGAGGTGAGTGGATTGCCTGAGCCCGCGGGTTTAAGACCCGCCTGGGCAACTTGGCGAGACCTCATCTCTATGATAAATCAAAAATTAGCCGGGCGTGGTGACACACGCCTGTAGTTTCAGCTAGTTGGAAGGATCACCGGAGCCCAGCAGGTGAGGCTGCAGTGCCGGGAGCAGCCACTGCACTCCAGTCTAGGCGTCAGAGCAAGACTTCAACTCAAAAAAACAAAACAAAACAAAACAAAACCCTAGCAGCTGGGCTCGGTGGCTCAGCCTGTAATCCTGCGCCTTTGGGAGGCTGAGATGAGTGAATTGCCTGAGCCCACGGGTCCGAGACCCGCCTGGGCAACTTGGCAAGACCTCATCTCTACAATAAATCAAAAAATAAGCCGGACCTGGTAGCGCACGCCTGTAGTTCCAGCTACTTGGAAGGCTGAGGCAGAAGGATCACCAGAGCCTAGCAGGTCAAGGCTGCGCAGCAGGTCAAGGCTGCAGTGGCCGGGAGCGGCGACTGTACTCCAGTCTGGGCGACAGAGTGAGACTCCAACTCAAAAAAAAAAAACCCTAGCTGGTGGCACATGCCTATAGTCCCAGCTACTATGGAAGCTGAAGGCTGCAGTGAGGATGTAATCACACAACTGTACTCCAGACTGGTCTGTAGAGCAAGACCCTAACTTTATTTTTTTTTAAAAGATTATGTTAAAGAGCAGTAAAAAGTGGATCGGCTTAGGAACTATAATTATGCACTGACTCAGTGGACAAAGCGCAGGGGACAGGGGAATGGTGGCACAGGGTCAGCCAGTGACCAGTTAAATTGATGTCATAGTCATTCCTGATACCCAGAAGGTAGCTGACATCCCCCAAAAGTTAGCTTTACAATTTCTTTCTGACTGTGGTCTGTGGTTCGGCAGCCAGTCCTCTTGCCAAATGAGGGTTAGGGATTAGACTTCTTGAGTTCAGGGACAGGTGAGAGAATAATTGTCTGTCTAAAGCCGAGCGAGCCTAAAGAAAAACTCCAGCTGAAGTGAATTCTCTCTAAAGGGAATTTGAGTATTGTCAACATGTGCGTCCACCACCTTGGGGGGAGATGCGCTGTCTGTAGCCCGGGCTGGAGTCAGACCGACGGCTGGGTGGAAGAGTGGCCCAGACGGAGCCGGGCGCAGGGCCTGGCGGCCCGGGAGCGGGTGGGCGCCCGACCCGCGGTGAGCCCTGCTCTGCCCCGTCTAGGACGCGGCCAAGCCCCTGGAGGTGCTGCTGCTGGAGAAGAACCGCTCGCTGCAGTCTGAGAACGCCGCGCTGCGCATCTCCAACAGCGACCTGAGCGGTAGGTGGCCGGGCCTCGCGCGGTGCTGGGTTCGCTTCCGGGGGTCGAGCAAGAGGAAAGTGAACCGTGAGTCTGGGCTGGTGCATGGCCGGA